CCTCCAGACCTGAGATCGCTGTGCCCGGCAGCGGTGTTTCCTTCCTGCCCTCGCTGGGTGCTGCCTGCTTCTCCCACAGTGGCTGGGCTTGCCCTGGCACTGCTAGCGCATCATGGATCCTGCTAGCGTCTAGGCCCAGGAGAATCTGCTCCCTCTTCCTGCTGCAGCCCCCTGCCAGCTCCAGCTCCCCCCCCACACACACACACACTCCAGCCAGCTCCCAGCTGGCTGCCAGGGGCCTGTGCCAGGCCCGTTCCTTGAGGCTAATTCCTTCCCCAAACTTATCTGAGATCAAGGCGGTAGCATTAACATTTGCAGGGACTGCCTTGGGACACCAGATGGCTGTGCTGGGGCATATCTGGTTAGCCTCTGTATTCCGAGTAAGCCCATTAGAATGTATTGTGGGGTTTGGGGTATTTCTACGGTTTGGAGAACTTGGGCCCCCCCCACTGGGTTTCCCCCACGGGTCAGAGTTTTTCTATGCGGGGCTAGTTTTACTCTTACACCCGTCACTCTGTTAAACTGTGGTGCAGTGAGTCCTTTTCCTGAGGGGCTTGCGCTTTTCACCATTTCCATTCTCACAGACGCACCAGCGATTCCTGCAGGAATCTTGGGCCTATCTCACACGCTCCAAGGTGGACAGAAACGCCCCCGAGCTCAGGCTCTTTATAAACTCTAGCCCAGTCTCTGTGGCTGGGCGCAGATGGAATTCCAGTCTGTGCAGATTCTTTGGTTCTCCCAGGACTGGGCGTTGAAATGTGGCTGTTTCCTTCGGTCTCTGGTGGGCTTTTTCTTCAGCTTCCAGCTCTTGCTTTCGCCGCAGGACAGCAGCTTGGCTCCTTCCTCAGCTAACGCTGTTTTCTTGTTACCCGAACGCCAGCCAGCTTCACTTCATTGTCAACCCTCATCGGCCATTATTTGTAACCGGAGCCTGTCAGCTTCACTGGCCTCGGCTGTTTGATCCCACTCACCTCTGAGCGGAGCCGTCCCCTCCAAGGGCCATTCTTCTTCCTTCACCACATTGTTTCCGCTTCTTTCAGCGTGTGACTGTGCTTCACCTACTCTCGGTGTTCTCCAACCCTTCAAGCTCTCCAGAGCACATTTTAAACTCGGAGATTCGTGGGCCCCTGGGCCAAAGCCCAGCATATCCTAACCAGGCAGTGCTTTCCCCAGGAATTGAAATTGCGGGGGGGGGGGGGCGGCTCAAAAGTACGGGGGGAGGGGTCAGGGCCGATGAGGGGTGAGACCGTGAGGGCGAAGGGGGGCTGTATGGCACCACAGTAACAACTGAAAAATGTTTCACGACCATTTCATTCCATTTAACTCATGTTTTTAAATCATCACACAAATTAAAGTTGGCAACACAAGCCTACTCTGAAGCACTACATCTACATCCTTCTTGCTTTCTTGTTGTAATTTTGCACAACTCTGTTAATGAGCTTCTCGAATGCAGTGCGTTCATCTTGGGTGGCTTCTCGTGTGTCCGGTACTTCCAGTTCTTCATGACATGCTCATGATCAGGCAGAAGGCGACTTCTTTCAGAACACAAAATTCTATTCAATGAGGAAAAAGAACGCCCAACTGTAGCTGTTGTGACTGGGAGTAGAAAGAGATGTATACCTACTTCTTTCAGCCCAGGAAACACAGCACAAAAATGGGTCAAACCACTAGTGATGATAAAGAAGAAGTTGAAGTCAAATCTACATTTGTTCATCGTATGATATTCCACTCTGTGTTCAAATTCTCTAGTCTGTCCTGATCACATGGCAGCCCCATTGCTGGCAGCGCTTCATTGCACTCAACTGTCGGTGTTTTATAAGACAGGCATCTGTAAAAGCTACGTAGAGGTTGATAGAATCCAGAAGTAGTTGTTGTAGAGATATAAGAATCAAGTTAGTGTACTTTACTTTTTCAACTGTCTTAAACACTTTTTGTCCTCTTCATTTAAGGAGTCAATAACAGTCACTTCTGAACTGAAATCTTTGCTTCTTCCAGTACTTTTTCAATGGATCTCTCTCTGATCGATCCAAGTGTAGCTTCCATTGCTGGACACAGATCTACTACTGTTCTAGCAGATGCCTGGATGGCATTGTTTACTGACCCAAGTGGTTTCAACAGTAGACTTACAAGAGAGAGAATGGCGATTGTATTCTCTGAACTTAGTAGCAAAAGTAGTTCACCAGCCTCACTACTTAAATCCGCCCCATCTCGGTAAATACTTTCCAAAGCCAATAATAATGGTTGCAGTAATTTTAAGTATCAGAGGGGTAGCCGTGTTAGTCTGTATCCACAAAAACAATGAGGAGCCGGGGGAGCAAAGTCACTAAAACGTAGCCCTTTAACGTGCCCCTCCCTTCTCCTCCACCGCACCCCACTCAGAGTTGTTGGCCTTGGCCAGTGAAGACCAAGAGTTCAGAGGTGCTTTCACATGAGTTCACCTCCCACCGTGGGGGGGTGTGCGCGGGAGAAGGTACCTTGCTTGTTCCTCCAGCTGCTGTTGTTCGTCATGCCACCATTCACTCCACCACTCCATTGCCAATGGCCCTGCGCTCTCACCTTCTGCTGCCACCTGCCACTGTGACCTCTGCGAGTCGGTCTCTTGAGGTTCCACCAGCTCTCAGTGATTTCAGCTCTCAGTGGGGGAAGCTCACAGCGAGTGCAGGCTGGGCCGTCCCTTCCACAGAAACATTGTCCTGCAGAAGGTCTAAGACTTAGGACTGACTGTCAGTGATTTCGGTTCTAGTGACCACTTAACAAAACAAAAAAGACTCTCAATGGAGCCTAATAAGAGAGAGTCCAGCGGAGGGCAACGAAAATGATGAGGGGGCTGGAGCACATGAGTTATGAGGAGAGGCTGAGGGAACTGGGATTGTTTAGTCTCCAGAAGAGAAGAGTGAAGGGGGATTTGATAGCTGCTTTCAACTACCTGAAGGGGGGTTCCAAAGAGGATGGAGCTCGGCTGTTCTCAGTGGTGGCAGATGACAGAACAAGGAGCAATGGTCTCAAGTTGCAGTGGGGGAGGTCTAGGTTGGATATTAGGAAACACTATTTCACTAGGAGGGTGGTGAAGCACTGGAACGGGTTCCCTAGGGAGGTGGTGGAATCTCCTTCCTTAGAGGTTTTTAAGGTCAGGCTTGACAAAGCCCTGGCTGGGATGATTTAGTTGGGGATTGGTCCTGCTTTGAGCAGGGGGTTGGACTAGATACCTCCTGAGGTCTCTTCCAACCCTGATATTCTATGATTCTATGATAAGCTCTATTTTTAAACAGGGTAGAGGGGCAGGTCAAAAGTGCCTGTGACTCTTAGGCACAGCCCACACCACCATGCAAACCCCCTGTCCTGTCCCTGCCCCCCCGCCCTCCACTGGGATCTGCCATCCAAACCCCTTGCTTAGCAAGTACAGTTCAGTTGAGGGGGACCAGGGCTTAATTTGTAATGAAAGAGGTGCCAGGGCTCAAGCAAGTTTTTTACTTTCATAACTGATGTGGCAAGCTCAGGGCTATGAACTGCCAAGCCTGGAGGTGCCTGGGGCTATGAACTGCCAGGGCTCAGCCCTGGCAAAAATTAAGCATTGAGGGTGACCCCTTCATTCAGTCAGGCTAAGCACGGTTCTGCTGCCCTTTACTCATACAATGAGGAGAACAACATTTCATGACCCCTGCATTCAGTACTAAAGTGATTTGTAACCCAGCACCAGCCAAAATTGATCACATGGGCAGCACAGCTCTGTCTGCTGGGTACCTTCGCAGAGTAGGTGAGTTCATGTAAATACAGTCTGGTCCTGAAGCCTTTCCCCCTCCCCTGGCTCACCACTAGCTGTCAGGGGAGAGCTCAGTCACACCTTGCTTACAAATCATCATTGGAAATGATAAGGTTGGCCAACGTTGTGGAAAGCAATGTGCCGACATTGTCAGAAAAACAACAGCTGTGTGAGGAAGCTAGTCTTTGTAAATATACTTTTCCAGGTACAAGTATTTGATCACACACTGTATCTGCTTTTAAAATGTGTATTAATGTTTCAATTTCCATTCAAATTTCCAACCAATGACAAAATTGGCAACACTGCATGTAACTAGTTGACCACTGGGGGGGTGTTGGGGAGATTCTGGGGGGGTTACACCCCCGCTGGGGGGGGCGTAGGGAAATCCCTGCCAGGCTACGCCAAACAATGGCCAAGCCCCTGACTGATTGCCCAGAGCTCGCTTTGCTGAGACTCAGCCACCCCCACCCATGGACACTCCCGCCAACCCACGCCTGCCAGCCTCTGCCACGGGAACGGGGCATGGAACGGACGGCACACGGGAATAGCAGCACTGCCAGGCTGGCTCAGAACGAGAGCTGGGAGCCAGGACTCCTGGCTTCTCCCTGCTCTGCCAAGACCAGGAGGGCTGACCTCAGGCACTGCCCAGAAGCTCTGCAGGGCAGGGGCATGTCTGCAGCACCCAGGGCGAGGGGCCACAGGTCCTGGTTGGGACCCATGGGCGCTCCCACAGTACAAATCAACACGCTGCTTCCGTTTCCCCATCTGCGCAGCAGGGCTAACGTCTGCATGGCGGTGCTGTAGTGCTCGCAGTGTGTGGACGGCGCCGGCAGCGCTGTGTCCAGCTAGGCAGTGAGCTCAGCATAGGGGGCAGCAGGGAGCGTCTCGTCCACATGCCACTTGTGGGCTGGTAGAACAGGGAGGTGGGGCTGGTGCGGAGAGCCTGCCGGAGCACCCTGGACTGGGGCAGCCCACGCAGGGCCTGGCACGTGTCCCCCACTCTGTGTCCCTGCCTGAGAGATCCCCCGCCAGGGCTGCGAGCACGGCCAACCAACGCTGCCGGGCGCCTGTCTGTGATGTCGACACAGCCACCGGCAGCCAGACCTGGAACAAGAGGCCCACATGCCCTGACCTGCCCTGCTCTCGGCCAGCCAGTCCCCCCTCGCTCAGACGGGGGCGGGGCTCTCGCTGGGGTCCCCCCTCCAGGGGGCGCTAGCACACGCTCCGGCCCCGCTCTTACCGGATAGGCTGAAGCCGGACTCGTGAAGGTCCCTCATGCCCCCGTGTCGAGTGGCAGGTCGGGTGGGGGTATCTGCAAGTGGAGTCCCCGTCTCCTTTTTCCCAGCATGCACCACCACAGCCACGTCCCCCAGGTAGGGGGTGCGCTCCACGCCCCTAAGCTTTAAACTCTAATGGAGGGAGAAAAGAAACACCCATGAGCGCCAGCCGCACAGTTAGAGCAGAGCTCCCTGGGCGGGACCTGAACCCACGGCCTGCCCTGCCGCGTCCCTATGCTGCCTGATCCCCATGGCTGGCCCTGCCGCGTCCCTACGCTGCCCGATCCCCATGGCTGGCCCCGCCCTGTCCCTACGCTGCCCGATCCCCATGGCTGGCCCCGCCCTGTCCTTACGCTGCCTGATCCCCATGGCTGGCCCCGCCCTGTCCCTATGCTGCCTGATCCTCATGGCTGGCCCCGCCCTGTCCCTATGCTGCCCGAGCCCCGTGGCTGGCCCCGCCCTTACGCAGGCCAATCCCCGTGGCCAGCCCTGCCCCGTCCCTACGCTGCCTGAACCCGCCCCTATGCTGCCTGAGCTCCGTCGCCGGTCCCGCCCCACCCCTACACTGCCTGAGCCCCGTGGCCGGTCCCGCCCCGCCCCGCCCCTACACTGCCTGAGCCCCGTGGCCAGCCCCGTCCCTATGCTGCCCGATCCCTGTGGCCAGTCCCACCCCGTCCCTACGCTGCCCAAGCCTATGGCCAGCCTGGCACCGTCGCTATGCTGCCCGATCCCTGTGTCTGGCCCCGCCCCGCCCCTACGCTGCCTGATCCCCGTGGCCGGCCCCGCCCCTATGCAGGCCGATCCCCGTGGCCGGCCCCGCCCTCTCCCTACGCTGCCCGATCCCCGTGGCCAGCCTGGCACCACCAGACTGGACCTTAGGCTACCCGCTGTGTCTGGCCCTGGGGGACAGCAGCCAGCAGCCTAGTGGCTGCATGAGGGCCTTGCCCCACCGGGACAGATTCTGCCATTGAGATGTGGGGTACCAGGCTGGGGAGCCTGGACGATCTGGGGCCCGGACGTGGAGCGGGGCTGAGATGGGATCTCTGCCTAATGTGGGGCTGGGCTGTGACTGAGCTTGCTCCCCGACCCTGCCCAGCCCCTGCCCCTGCCCCTGCCCCTGCGGTTAGTTCGGGGGAGAACTCAGCTGAAAGCGGGGGAAGGATGCTGGGTTTCTCAGGACACTCCAGCCCCATCACCGCAGCTTCCCCAGCTGGGACACTGAACTTCCAGAGGCATCATCCATTGGTGCCCTGAAAGTCCAGTAAAGGCCCTATTAGCCAGGCTGGGCAGGGACGGTGTCCCTAGCCTCTGTTTGCCAGAAGCTGGGAATGGGCGACAGGGGATGGATCACTTGATGATTCCCTGTTCTGTTCATTCCCTCTGGGGCACCTGGCACTGGCCACTGTGGGAAGACCAGATACTGGGCTAGATGGACCTTTGGTCTGACCCTGTGTGGCCGTTCTTATGAGACACCAAGGGCTAGAGGAGAGGGGAGGAGGGTACAGCCTGGGGGTGGTGGTGCAGTGTTGGGTAGCGGGACAGCATAGGGATGGGGGTGCAGCGTGGGGTAGGGGATACAATGTGGGGAATGGGTGCAGTGTGGGTTGGGGAAGGGGGCACAGAATGGGGTGCAGAGGAAGGGGGGACTGCACAGGGAGGAGGTGCAGTGTGGGGGCACAGCATGGAGAAGGGGTGCAGTACAGGGGAAAGGGTAAGGGGGACTGCATGAGGAAGGGGTGCAGTGTGGGGAAGGGGTGCAGCATGGGGCAGGGGGTACAGCATGGGGATGGGGTGCAGAGAGGAGGGGGGAGACAGCACTGAGGGAGGGGGGGGAGGGGAGGGGTACTGCATGGGGAAGAGGGCAGTGCGGGTGTAGGGGGTACAGCAATGGGAAGGGGTGCAGTACGGGGGTAGTGCATGGGGAAGGGGTGCAGTGTGGGGGTAGGGGGTACAGCATGGGGAAGAGGGCAGTGCAGGGGTACAGCATAGGGAAGGGGTGCAGTGTGGGGGTAGGGGGTACAGAATGGGGAAGGGGTGCAGTGCGGGGCTGGGTCTCTGCTATTGCAGCCCCCCTTCCTCCCCACTCAGGCCTGGCTGTGGCTGGCAGAGCTGCACCCTGGGTACGACAGCTGGTGTCATGCTCTGGTCGAGAGGCACTGTCGGGCCACGGCTGGCTGCTGTGTCTCCCCCAGGAGCAGGCCCCCCGGCAGGCAGAGGCCAAGTGATGCAGCTGGTGCCACGGGGGGCAGCTGGGGGGGGACGACCCCCACCTGAAGGGAGCACAGAGTTGGGGCGCTTGATAAACCCCAGCCAAGAGAGAGCGGAGTGCGTCCCCCTAAGGCCTGCAGCACGCTGCCCCCTGCTGGCATGCCGCCTCACTGCACCAATGCAAAGCAGATTCCACCCCCTGCCCAGTCTCTCCCGTGCAACCCCCTCCCCCCAGCCCCATAAGCAAGTAACCGCAGGCGTTAAAGACCAGTCCCATGCAGGCAAGCGATGCCCCCTAGCGCCATGCAAGGATCATGCACAGACAGCAGCAAGTGCCAGCGGCCACAGCCGCGGGCTGGGAACCAGGACTCTGGGGTCCAAGCCTGGCTCTGGGTGGCCTCGGGCAGGTCCCTCCCCACTCCGCCCAGGGTGGGGCGCCCCCTGCTGCCAAGGGGATGCCACTGCCCTGGCACAAGTACGGTGAAACCACAGGCTGCCGCAGGCGAGTGGGGAATCCTAGGGAAGTGAACTGGTGAGGAGGAGTACAAGAGAACGGCACCAGCGTGTAGGGGCGAAGGCCCCGAGTTACACCTAGCAAGGGACACAAAAGGCAGTAAGAAGAGGGTCTCGAGATACATTAAGAGCAAGAGGAAGGAGACTTAATAACTGACATCATCAAAAGGCTGAGGTGGTTAATGCCTATTTTGCTTCCGTCGTCACTAAAAGGTTAATGGTGACCAGATCCTCAACTCAACCAATACTAACCCCAAAGGGGAAGGAAAACAAGCTGAAATAGGGAGCGAACAGCTAAAGACTAGTTAGATAAGTTAGATGTAGTCAAGTGAGCAAGGCCTGATGAAACTCAAGCTGGGGTACGAAGGAACTGGCGGAAACGATCTCGGGACCGTTAGCAATTATCTTTGAGAATTCCTGGAGGACGGGTGAGGTCCCAGAGAACTGGAGAAGGGGAAACACAGGGACCTGTCTTTAAAAAGGGGAACAAGGAGGACCCAGGGAAATACAGACCAGTCAGCCTCACTTCAATACCTGGAAAGACACTGGGACAAATTATTCATCCATCAGTTTGTAAGCGCCTAGAGGAGAAGAGGGTGATAAGGAACAGCCAGCATGGATTTATCAAGAACAAATCCTGCCAAACCAACCTAATTTCCGTCTCTGACACAGTTATTAGCCTAGTGGATGGGGGAAGCTGTAGGCGTGATATGTCTTGATTTAGTAAGGCTTTTGACACATTCCCATGTGACATTCTCACAAGCAACCTGGGGAAACGTGGTCTGGATGGAACTACCGTAAGGTGGCTGCACAACTGGTTGAAAGACCATACTCAAGGAGTAGTTTCAATGGTTCGCTGTCCAACTGGGAGGTCATATCTACTGGGATCCTGCCAGGGTCTGTCCTGGGTCCGGCACTGGTCAATATTTTCATGGATTTGGATAATGGAGTGGAGAGGAGACTTATAAAATCTGCAGCTGACACCAAGCTGGGAGCACTTTGGCGGCAGGATCAGAATTCAAAATGACCTTGACAAATTGGAGAATTGGTCTGAATTCAACAAGCTGTAATTCAATACAGACAAGTGCAACATACTTGAGTTAGGAGGTAAAAATCCAATGCCCAACTCCAGTGGAGAATAACTGGCGAGGTGGCAGTACTGCTAAAATGGGTCTGGTGGATCACAGTGGATCACAAATTGAATATGAGTCACCAATGTGATGCACTTGGAAAAAAGGCTAATATTCTGGGGTGTTGTCACAGATCCACAGGGTCGGGCTACGGCCCGGCCTTGGAACAGTCTCTGGGAGGGGCCCTTCAGTGGGCCAGACCCCCTACAGGTCCCACTCTTCTTTCAAGGTAAGCCACATGGCTTCACCCCCTCTTTAGACTGGACCTGTGGGCTCCAGCCCCCCTGCTCCATCCTGGGAGCTCCGGGCAGCAAGTCCAGCTGGGACAGACCCTGGGGCATAGGCACCGACTCCATGGGTGCTCTGGGGCTGGAGCACCCACAGGAAAAAATTAGTGGGTGCTCTGCACCCACCGGCAGCCAAGCTCCCCCCCCCCCGCGCCCCACCTCCTCCTCCTCCCCTGAGCACGCCGCATCCTTGCTCCTCCACCTACCTCCCAGCGCTTCCTGCCTTGCTGCTGCCAAACAAGTGTGTGCTTGGTGTGCTTGGAGGGAGGGGGAGAAGCGAGAACGTGGCGCGCTCTGGGGAGGATGTGGGTCTGGGGCAGGGATTTGGGGAAGGGGTTGGAATAGGGGCAGGGTTGGAATGGGGGTGGGGCAGGGGTGGAGTCGGGGCTGGCCGGGGCAGAGGGGGGTTGAGCACCCACCGGCGGGAGCAGAAGTCAGCACCTATGCCCTGGGGGAGACGTGTCCTCTCCTCAGGGATCAGTGCCCCTCGCCCAGCGTCTGCAGGGACACTCACCCAGTGCTGTCAAACCAGGCGGGTTTATTAGTCACCTGGCACACGGCCCAGGCAGCCCCTCGGGTGGCCCAGAGAACTGACGGTTACAGCCCAGCCCGGCCTGGGCAGCCAGCACCCAGCCCAGCTGCAGTGACCCCCGTGGTTCAAGCTCCGTCTGTCTCACTGTCTGACCTTGGTCAGACTCCAGGTGAGAGCCCTGGCCCCGACTCCTGCCAGCGCCCAGCTCTTATCCCCCCCCACACACCTCCCAGCCCCTGTTCCCCAGCTGGGGCCATGGCCCGGCCTCCCTGCTGAGCAGTGGGGAAATCCATCTGCCTCGGGGGCCAGGGTGGGGCGGTTTCCATGTCTGGGCAATTGGATTTGCTGTCGTCTTCTCGAATCTGCACTGCTCTGGGGACCAGGCCCAGACAGCTCGGTGACACCCCCAGCTGTGTCTCTTAGCCTGCCCGGAGAGCAACCGCTCCCTTTCCACCCAGTGGG